ACAAATGTGAATCTTACATGCCATGAAAACTTGATGTGGGTGGGAGATAAGGAAATGTAGTTTTATAAGAAATAGATGGTTGTTTCACTAAATGAAAAATATGAGAAACAAATTGGAAGAGACAGGGAAGAATACAGTTTTGGACATATGAGTTTAATGACCTGCTAGATTTTTAGATGAAAATATGTGGTAAATGGATGGAAACAAGGTGCATAAACTTAGGAGAGAGGCAGAAATTTTTAAACTTTAGACATTCACCAGACCGGACAATTTTTGACATTTAAAATAAAACTTTTTGCCACAAAAAAACAAATGTATTAAAACTATAGTTTCCGGAACTGCCCAAATAACTTTTTAAACATGATATAAATGTCAATTTTTCTTTGGCAATCTATCCAAAATACTAATTTTCCTTTTAGAACTTAGTTTATAATTTATATATTAGAGTGCCCTTAATTGATGTGTATCGGAATACCTTCCTCTGAGCCCTAATGGTTTCTATTTTCCTTTTAAAATGCATAATTATCTTTTAATTAAGTTGTCATTATCAAAGATATTCTGGAGCAAATATCAAGAATTAAACATCTATAAATTCTTCTTCACTTCTGTTATAGTGTAGCAATTTATCATCTAACCCATAGTGGTCTATCAATTGAGTAAGGCTTAGTTTCTTGTTCTCTTCAGACACAGCTGACAGCAACTCATAAAGCAACAGTTGGCTACATCTTCTCCACTTCTTTATTAACAACTGTAACTGAGATAGATCATTCTCTGATCTATACATTTTGACTAGTTTTAGCCTCCGAAGAAGGTCTTCTTTTTCCTGAACCTGCTTCACCAATTTGGCTTTTTCATCGCTTAATCTTTGTTTGGGAAGATTCTCATTCACAAACTCATTTTGGAGAGCACTGCATGACCCAGAATTAAGCGACTGAGATTCACAGACACTGAGATTCTTCAAAGTATTTTCTTCAAATTCACTGTCTATGTATTTAAAACTTTCTTGAAATTCCAAACAGTTTTCCTCTGTGGAAGATGCTGGTTTCCCTGAAAAGGTCTGATCATTTTCTTCATTCTCTACTTTAAGACGTTTCACCACATTGTAACAGGAATTAAATGAAGATCTTGATTTCCTTAATCTTTCTCTAAGTGTTGCACTCATAGGCTGAGGAGTGTTAGGTAAAACCGCAGCTGAGTCTGATGGACTTTCCATCTTGAAAATGAAATCTTGGTTTTTCTCTCGCTCTGCCATCCCCAGCGAGAGCAAAAACCGCGCGCAGCAGCGGCCGTAAATCGATCCTCGGTGCATTCACTGTTAGAAATTCACCTTAAACAATATAATCCGAAGGAACATGGGTCTGTGTGTTGAAGATGCCCTGGGATGATGAACCTCATGCTTAGTTGAGTGAAGAAGCACCAATATCCCAATGTCAAAACATGCCAGTAAGTGAAGACATGCCGAAAGAAGTAAGTGTTGGTGTCTGAATGAAAAGAGTCGGCTACTGAGATAGTACTTATTTATTTATTTGTTTATAGATGTTTCACTCTTGTTGCCCAGGCTGAAGTGCAGTGGCACAATCTCGGCTCACTGCAACCTCTGCCTCCTGGGTTCAAGTGATTCTCCTGTCTCAGCCTCCTGAGTAGCTGAAATTACAGGCATCCACCACCATACCTGGCTAATATTTTGTATTTTTAGTAGAGACAGGGTTTCACCATGTTGGCCATGCTCGTCTCGAACTTCTGACCCCAGGAGATCCACCTCCCAAAGTGCTGGGATTACAGGCATGAGCCACTACGCCTGGCCAATGGTGACTACTATTTAAGAAGAGGCTGTACCATATTGTTTTTAGGAAGTTGCAGCTCTGGAATCAGACCAAACTAGGCATTAATCCAGTCACTTCCAAAGCTTAAACAGAACATTATTCTGCCCCTATCTACAGCCTCATCTTGGGCCACTTTCCAAAGTCAACCATATTTCGGCCTCACAGACCTGCTTCCCATCCACTGAGTCCTTCCAGCTATTGACTTTTGCTTTGACTTGAAGCCTGAAGCCAGCCTATCAAGTAGATATATAATGTGAGTGACAAATCCAAGTCCCTTGTGTAATTACACATTTTCTAATAGCTGCATTAAAAAATTAAGTAGGGAAGAGTATTGGTCCATTTTCATATTTTCACACTGCTATAAAGATGTTACCTGAGACTCGGTGATTTATAAAGAAAGGAGGTTTATCTGATTCACAGTTCTGCATGGCTGAGGTGACCTCAAAAAATGTATAATCATCAGGAATGGTAAAGGAGAAGCAAGGCAAGTCTTACATGTGGCAGGGGAGAGAGAGAGAAAGCACAGAGGAAGCTGTCATTTATAAAACGAGCAGATCTTGTGAGAACTCCCTATCAAGTGAACAGCATGGGCAAAACCTCCCCCATGATCCAATCATCTCCTTCCAGCTCCCTCCTTCAACACATGGTGATTACAATTCAAGAGAGATTTGTGTGGGGATACAGTACAAAATGATATCAGAAAGTTACTTTTAATATGGTTTATTTAACACACTATGTAAAAAACATTAGCATTTTAACACGTAATCCATATTAAAATTGAGGTATTGGGCTCGGTGCGGTGGCTCACACCTGTAATCCCAGGCTTTTGGGAGGCTGAGGCAGGGGGGTCACCTGAGGTCAGAAGCTTCAGACCAGCCTGACAAACGTGGAGAAACCTTGTCTCTACTAAAAATACAATATTAGCCTGGTGTGATGGTGCATGCCTGTAATCCCCGCTAATTGGGAGGCTGAGGCAGGAGAATCGTTTGGACCTGGAAAGCAGAGGTTGCAGTGAGCTGAGACTGTACCACTACACTTTAGCCTGGGTGACAAGAGTGAAACTCCATCTCAAAAATAAATTTAAAAATAAATAAGTAAATAAAAGTGAGATACTGACTAGGTGTTATTGTATGTTCTCTTTATTTCTTTAGAATATTTAGAAATTTGTTGTGTATTTCACACTAACACACACTTAAACACTTATGCTAGCCACATTTCGTGTCCTGCCTCAACTCAGACAGTGTAGATTCAACCCTTGCCTTCTTCGTTCTTTGTTCCCTTCAAAAGTCATGTTGTAATTTTGTCCCCAAGGTGGCAGTATTGAGAAGCAGACCCTTTAAGAGGAGACTGGGTCTTAAGGGGTCTGCCTTCATGAAAGGATCAATTCATTCACGGATTAATTAAAGAAATCATGACTGGATATACGCCTAGTGCTTAAGATTAGGACGTGACTGGGTTTCTGCCTAGTCCATGGGAGGGTAATCTGTGGCTTTTATAAGATATGGAAGAGAGACCTAAGCTTGGATGTTAGCATGCCTAGCCCCCTTGCTGTGTCATGTCCTGTGCTGCCTCAGGACTCTGCAGAGAGTCTCCACCATTGGGAAGGCTCTTACCTGAGGCAGCCTTTTGACCTTGGACTTCTCAGCTCCCATAACGATAACCAACACAGTACATTCCTTTTCATTATAAATTACTCAGTTTCAGGTATTCTGTTATAAGCAATAGGAAACAAAGACATCTCTCCACTTTTACTTGGACAGCTATTCTAATCTACTGGAATGGCTTAGAGAAAAGCTGCACTTTCAGATCATATTTTACCTTTGTATTGTGTACTCCACGGTACCCTACATTCCTTGATGATACTGGTTTCATGCTAATGAATCACTCATGCTGCAATCAGTTTAAAAGCTGTCATCTTCATTAGATTGAAGGCTCCAGGACTACTCCTTTTATATAATTCTTATATCCCCAGGCTTACATAATGCCCAATAAGTGGAGGTATTTGACCAATGTCTGCTGACTAATCATTATTTAGTACCTCGGAAGCTTTATTTTCTCATCTGTAAAGTGGGGATAAAATAACCCTACCTCACACAGTTGTGAGGTTTAAATATATTCACATATGTATTTGGGTGTACTTACAATCAAGCCTGGAATATCATAACTGCTATATAGAATCTAGCTTTTGGTAACAGTTGCAGCAGACCTTCTACTAACTTTGTGAGGGTTAACAATGTGCTAAGGGGTATATCTGGCACATGATAGGTGACTTCTTAATTATTTTAGGCTTGGTCTATTTATTATTTCATATATCTGTTAAATAATATATCATTAATTAAATCTCTTAGTATTGCTTTTGAGTCCCTGCTTTGGAGTCCCTGCTTTGGATATAATGTTCTTAAGAGATCCAGGAAAATAAAGAGGATGCTTCATTTTGCAACACTCTGCATACCTAATTACCAGAAATAGCAGCAAACAGACATTGATTAGGGCTCACATGAGACTGTCTAGTGCATATGGCTAGGAAGTAAGACCATTTGTCTGTAAACCAGAATTTCTAGATTGCATTATTTCTCCTTTCATTAATATATTATATAATTTAGTATAGTATTTAAGTTTCTATATTTTTATTTGCCCAATAAGAAGTCGGATCAGTGATTCTCCATTGCCTAAATTTGGATCAGCCAAGAACATGTGCCCTCATAATTGGTCGTTTTTTTAGTCCCTTTGCAGAGACATAGCCTGCTGGCCAGCTTATTGTATTCTCTTTTCATTGCCCTTGCTCCTTTAATCAGAAGTAGAGATGTGACAACATTGAGTCTCCTACAGGCTAAAGTGGACTGGGAAACACCGGCCTATACCATAAAAGGCCTGTCTGGCAAATGCTAATAATCCACATTACATATTCCTTGTAACATAAAACAGAAATTTACAGAACAAAATAATTGTCCATATAGCCCCATGCCCAGATGAGCATTTAAAAACCTTTTTTAAAGCACTTTAAGGAATCTCCACACTGTTTTTCCATAGTGGTTGCACTAATTTACATTCCCACTGGAAGCATGGAAATGTTCCCTTTTCATCACATTCACGCCAATATCTACCGATCATTTGATTTTTTGACTCTGGCCTTTCTTGAGTAAGATGGTATCGTATTGTGGTTTTGATTTGCATTTTCCTGATCATTAGTGTTGCTGAGTTGTTGTTTTTTTTTTTTAATATGTTTGTTGCCATTAGTGCATCTCCTTTTGAGAATTGTCTATTCATGTCCTTAGTCCACTTTTTGATGGGATTGTTTGATTTTTTTCTTGCTAATGTGAGTTCCTTGTAGATTCTGGATATTAGTCCTTTTTTGGATTTATATATTGTAAAGATTTTCTCCCACTCTGTGGGTTGTCTGTTTACTAACAGACAATATCCCTCAAGGAAGTGTTATATATACCTCACTATGAAGAGCTTAGCAATGTCAATAATTCTTTGTTCTGAACAGACATCTGATATGCTTGCTGATTTCTACAATAAAAAGGTGGTTGTATGGTGGAATTTTCCTTACTGATGTCCAGTGTGATTAGAATTACCAATAAGGACGTAGAGAGCCAATGGGTTGCAGGTAGATGTGGCAATTCTTCTAAATTGTTGCTCAAATTACAAACAACAGAGAATCCAATGATTTCTTCAAGAAAGTCAAGACAAAATGGGATTTCAGAGCAAGGGAGGAAAGAAACTAGAGACATATGGTGGAGAAGAAAGGAAAGCAAGTAGGCGGCAGAGAATGGTTGTTGTCTACATTTGGGATGAGATAGCTTTGTATGTGTGTGTGAGACAAAGAAAAGAGACTAGGCAGATTCATCATGCATTATTCAAGGGTAAGGGATGAGATGCAGTCAGATGTGAGTTAGACTGAGTACCAAAGCTACTATTTAAAAGTTGTGTGGCCTTTGTTTAGCTGCTTAAGCCTGGTAAGCTTACACATTCTCACTTAAAAACTAGGGGAAAATACCTGTATTAAAGATTTGTATTTCTTAGTTTGGTTTTGCTTTGCTTATGTTTTGATCATTAAACGGCACAGAATAAACAATAGTATTTCTCTGTCTCTTTCTTTCTTTCATCTGAATGTTATTGTACTTATACAATTCTGCATTTAGCTTGACCAGTCTTCTGTAGATTTCACACAGCACACTTAGGAATACAAGTCAGATTAAAGAGAAAAATGTGACAAAATTGCAGTGATGTGTGCTTATGTTTGTGTGTTGTGAAAATTAAAGGTGCTGATTAAAACTTCCAATTTCTTGAATATTGATCAATTTTCTAGACTTTTAGATACTCTTAAAATATTTTCACTCTTAGGAATTTGTTTGTGCATACAAATGACTATTTAGGGCTACATAGAAGAAAAAACAATCTCTGCTTCCAATGTACTGATTTTTGTGTGCGGAAAAAGATCACATTTTAATATTTCTGAAGTTAAGAGA